TTTTTTTTTTTTTTTTAATTACCATTAGAAAGTGTCTTACTTGTTTGCCACCAAACGCATCACTGTCCAGTCTTTTGGAAACATCTCTGGTCGTATCAGTATCCGAAATACAGTGAAAATCTGAAGCAGGAAATCCTATATAAGGAAAAGACAGTCTTATGCCTTTGCAGGTTGGAAAGAGAAACGAACTTTAAAAATACATTAACTAGAGATAAAAATATGATGATAGAAGTAGCAGAATTGCTACTATTTTTTCTACATAGATACACCCCTGAATATTTTATCATTTTTCCCTCCCAAAGGCTGCCGATAGTGGGGTTTTTTTTGTAAAAAGAAGAAAATAATTTAATGTGCTACTTGCTTGACAGCAATGAATAAGAGAAATGTCAAAGATACATTTAGTTTCCACCCATACACTTCCACAAATGTGATCCTGAGAAAAAATTGCAAATCAAACAGGCACTTTACAAACACTACGTATTTTCAAATATCTCTTTAATCATGCCTGGCTTTCATCAGAGTCAAGGTTTCTTCCGAAAGCATCATTATTTGGTGGGAAGGAGAGAGCCTAAGGATGATTTCCTCAACGGCTTGGCACAGACCAGGGAAGTTGATAGCAATGTGTGGACTCCTGAGCTCCAGTGCCAGCAGCCTGGCTACACGCAGGTCACTCACTCAACCACTCTGCATCATTTGTGAATCCATAAAACCAGCAAATGCATGTGAGCTACTCTGAATGTGGAAAGCACTGAGCATTAAGAGCTGAGCATTAGCATTCTCTCCCGTGACAGTTTACTCACCAATAAATAACTGAATTAAACAATGTCTCTCTATACAGATCAAGATATTTTTGATAACTAAATTTACAGTAAGGGTAATATTTCTGGTGGTCCATTTTAATAAAAAAAATACAACTTTATACAAAATTAAGTAAAATGTAGCCTTTCACATCATGAAAAGCATGATGCTGTAATTCACTGAACATAATCAATGTTGCATCTGACTGAAATATTCCTAGTTGATTCTGCTCACATCACTGGTGTCGAGTTAGCCCTAAACACATTTTAGATGAAGATACAACCAGAGGATACCAAGTAAGTTTGAACATCAAAATACATTCTCAAGTGCATATATTGAAGTGTAAATGACGGGCATTGCACAACAGATGTCTTTCATTAGAAAATCACTGTAAAGGGGGAAGAATACAGGCGCTAGGAATGGCATCTGAGATCCCAGCACCCACCCACTGGAGATTACATAAAAAGAGACAACCTGTTTTTTGAGTGAGATGCCAAGAAGTTCTCTGTATCAGAGTATAAACAATATTTGCTCTAGATAAAGCAGTATCTGAACACAGGTGACTAGCTTGACATGTAAATAAGTAGCTCCACAAGACTTACTCCTGACTGGAATTTCCTACAGCTTTTTGTCTTGAGGTTGAACTCCAACACTTTCATCTGCCCCTTATTTTGCGTAGGAGCTAGATCTCCCTTCCCAGCGCTCGAATCTCCGCAGCTCTGGGCTATAATTGCAACAATATCGGCATGCCCCAAATTCTGCTGCCCCCCTGCTCACAGGAACACCCCCAGCTTTCCCACATCCCATTTCCATCCTGTCTCTGGTCCAGAAGCACAGCGTGATGCTGCTGCTGGGGAGCTCACTGCCTGACTGGCTGCTGACCTGCAGGGACCAGCTATTGGGAAGCCAAACAAGTGGTTTAAGGGCCCTCTGCAAATCCAAGGGCCCTTAATCGTGGTTGTAAAACTGCCTGCCTTTGAGGCCTACAGCCTCAAACCTCTCTGAAATTCATTGCCTTATTCAGAAAATGCTAAGGAAAGAATGATACAGAGAACATATATGCTTCACTTCTGAGGCATCTAGGCTAAAAAAAAAAGAATAAACTCCTTATTCTGAGTAATCATTGAAACAAAGCAAGTGTCAAAACTTGTATTAGATTTTGAAATACAAGGCTATTTTTTTTGATTTTTAATAGGAAAATCCAAAAAAAAGTTTTGTCAATTCACAGTAAATGACAACAAAAACACAAAAACATTGAAAAAACCCAAGTCAGTAAGTTGGATGTTCCATTTTTAAAGTAAATGTGTCAAAACCATACAAACAACGGAATAGTTGAGTGCTAAACTATAACTGAAATAAACAGATAAAGCATAAACATCTCTGGAAATGCAGAGTCAGATGTAAGATTTGCAAGATACACATTTACAAAGCTTCTATTAGCAGAATTAAAACATAAGTAACTTATTTTTCATGATACAGCTTTTGTATATCTGATGTCTTATTTCTCCAGAAATCTATGATAAAAATGAAAATAGCAAAACATTAAAATGCCAGTTGACTGATCTGATACTGTGTTATTAATGTGCTAGTATGCATTCATATGCCAGAACTACTCATCTATATTCAGTGCCAATATTCAATGTCAAGAGGAATAACCTTGTAATTGTTCTATAGCAATTCCAAGATACCTTTTGATCAGTAGTACAATGCCTGGGATTTTGCATGACGGAACTGCTCTTTTTGTTTCATGGTTGATATATTCTAAAGTCTTTGCAAGACATTACTATGAAGTACCAGTCATGGTAAATCAGTTTTCTATGTGTATTTTGAACTGTTTCTTTTGCAATAAAGTATTGTCTTTCACCGTAGTATCTGCTCTGCTGAACACATCATAATGATTTGGTAACAGATTTTAAAGATTTTAACATTTAAAGACGTTTTTGCCAGCACTATAAGTGAACTAACATTTGGTTGGTTGAGTACAGCCATAATTAAAGCCTCATATGCCTTCAGTCTTAAGAGATGGCAGGGGAATAATTATATCATTTTGCCTCCTCCAGGCAGCTAAATACCGTGTCTTAATATTCCTACCTTGTGTCCATAAACTCTAGCAGTATATTACACTACTCGTAACATCACATAGACTGAAGAGTACTTCAGTACTCAATTTATATAAAATATATTTACTAAAAGATTACTAAAAGGTTATTTGTGGTGTATTTTGTGGCAAGCAAAAAGAGCTTTAAATAATAAGCTTTAAAATAATACCCAAAGATAAACAAAAACATAAGCATTTTAAATTACTGAGCCATTAAATCCAGTGTATCAAAAAGGGAGTGAAACACAGTCTCTGGGGCTAGCACTTGGCCATGAACCCCTGTCATTTCTTTCTTACTTTATGATGGACACTTCTGCAGTATTGTGTCCAGTTCTGGGCTCCACAGTACAAGAGGGATGTGGAGCTGCTGGAGAGAGTCCAGCGCAGGGCTACAAGGATGATCAGGGGCCTGGAACATCTGCCCTATGAGGAGAGGCTGAGGGAGCTGGGCCTGTTCAGCCTGGAGAAGAGAAGGCTGAGAGGGGAACTTAAGGAAAAATTTCTTAACAGTGAGGGTGACAGAGCACTGGAACAGGCTGCCCAGAGAGGTTGTGGAGTCTCCTTCTCTGGAGATCTTCAAAACCCACTTGGACACAGTCCTGTGCCACATGCTCTAGGTGACCCTGCGTGTGCAGGGGGGTTGGACTAGATGACCTGTAGAGGTCCCTTCCAACTTTAAGCATTCTGTGATCTATGATTTGCATGTTTTAAAATATAAAATGCTTTTTATGTCTTCTCTGGTGTGAAAAATCTGAATCTGTTGAAGAACTGACTAAAATAAAAACAGTCACCATGTCAATTACTAAAACTAAAAATGTATTTACAAAATAGAGGAGATGATATTTCTATAAACAACCACATTTTTAAAGCATCACTCAGAATCATGTCAGAAAACATGTGCAGATATAAATGGCATTTTTCAGTTGATGCCATTCCTTTAAACTCTCTATTGTGCTACACTGTGATTAACGAGTTGGAAAGAGTCTTAATAGTTTTGGCATAGATTGTTTAAGAAAAAAATATAACTGCAAATTTATTTTGATAGGATGAATTGCAACTTTCATTCCCTTCTTACAAGTACTTACATGAGCGTTTTTTATTTGCACTAGCCACAAGAAAACTAGCCACAAGAAAAACTGGCAATTTTGTCAGTCTCTAAAAACACCTCTGCCAAATATGCCTCATCACAGATATTTACACCTTTTGAATCTTGATATGTTCAAGCTGATGATGTTTCCTAAGGAGGATTAAAGCAGTGTAACACACCAAATAATAAATTTCACAGCTGGCAAAGAAAGCAGTAGGGTCCATTTACGTAGTCTAAGACATATGCAGTCATCTTGCATGAATAACATTAGCAGTGTCAACCTAACCAGCCCTCCTTTTCCTTCTTGCTTTCAGCTACATATTTCAGTGGTATTTGGTATTTACAAATGAGGAGGAAATAGACTATTTATTCTTCTATTTCAGAGTCACAAGAGAAGAAATACTGAGTTAATTTGGATCAAATCTACTGCCACTGAATGACTGGTAAAGCTGTGGCTCTACTAATGAGAGCAGGATGGGAAGAGCATACTCTGGACTTGATTTCTTAAGATTTATATTTTGATAGCTGATAGCACTGGCTACAGCTACTTCCTATGGGTCTGTATAAAATAGCAGGGTGTGTGTTCTGGAGAATACAAATTTAAATCAAACACCAATCAAGCAATAATTCTAGAGATTCTCATGTTCTGGAATCAGAAAGCTTGAAAAAACAACAAAGTATTTCATAAATATATTCAACAAATGCAGCAAATACCAAAATTTAAACCTATGAACTTACATCTACTCAGAATTTAAATAAGGAAAGCATTTCAAGTAAAATTGTCCAGTTCCACAGCCTCTATTAAAAATTTTCCAAGTATAACCATTATACTAGGTGAAAACAGATGTTGCAGTTCTAGTTGAAAAAAAAAATCTATATAACTCCTACGTAGCATTCCTGATTCATGACAGAGAAATTCTCAGAAATATTTTGTCTCTTTCAAACTCAACATGACCATCTCACTGCAAAGAAAAGACACTCTTGAATGGTACTCTCTCTCAGAATAGCTTGAAATGGCTAACAGAAATCTAATAAAAATTAATGACTAGACTTAGTTCATAACATTTCAGTACATAACATTATGGTACAAAAGCTTATTAAATGGTAATTTAAGACATTAAAAACACATGAACACACTAGGACATCATGACTCTCCTACTTAGGCTTTCTGGCTGAACAGTGGGCATAAGTGAGCACTGAGCAATCCTTGCATGGGTCAAATGTCGTCCTATCAAGATTTCATGGAAGTCTTAAAGCAGGAAGCCTTAAAACAAACACAGTTCCCCTCTTCCCCCCTTTTTAATCCATCCCTGATGCAAAATGCATTGAAAAAAATGCTTTAGCCCTATGAACATGACAACTCCATCCATGAGATTGGCAGAAGGTGCCCTAATACAGTCTGGCAGTTCCTCTCTCCCATGACTGTGCTGGGAAGAGCCTGCATGAGGTGACAGGTTGTCCTGCCAGTGGTCTTGCCACACAGTTAGTAAGTTCATGTGATAGCACATGGACTACTGCCATGAATCCTCAACTCATATTTGCCTAAACATTTTCACAGAGCTTAAGGCACGAGCAATAATGATTTTCATTCTCTATCGGGAGAAAGGTTTCCAATTCAATTAAGCACACAGGTATTACAAGGCAGATTCAAACACTGTGACCACAAGCGATGTGATCACTTTTTCCTGTAACTCTAATTCAGTGAGACCTGCAATCTAAGGACTGCACTTAATGGGAAAGTATTCCCATTGTACAGCCTTCAGTACTTCATAGATTTGCAGGTAAAAGCTTATACTTTCCAACTACGAAAATAAAACAGGATGTTCTCCAAGGATGGTTTGTCTGGGTTTCAGACAAACTGTAATAGGCAGAGCTAGTTTGTGCCTGATGTTGTGACTAAGAGAGCAAATAAGAGCACTGCTTCTATAGCTAACATGGATCAAGGCTGCACACAAGTTACTAAATGTTTCTATAACCTGGAATGCTCAGAAATATGGTATAAAGACAGAATAATATCAAATTGACACCCAAATCCTGTTGAATTGCATTTGATTGTGCACTGCAACACATCCCATTGTAAATACATTATCATGGTTTTCTCCATTACTTAGACTGTCCCTAGTTCAGAAAATGGAGTGAGTTTGCTGAACACTTATTTCAAGTCATGTATTTGCCATTGCCATCTATCATACTAAAAATAAAAAACTGGCTGACAGGAAGAATCAGGAAAAAATACTTTACCTTAGATGGATATCTTAAAAAGGTTTTGAGGCTAAGCTTATGGCTTTAAAGCAATTACACAGCCCTCCTCTCCTATTTTATTGGGTCTTAGTGTGGCAGCAAGGGAACTGTAGCCCCACCATAAGTCTGTCTGAATAAACACAAAATGTTGTGTAAAAACGAGTTAATCTGAAAAACAGATTGCATTTAAATACTGATGTGTTTCATCAAAACTGAGACAGACAAAGAGGAAATAAATGAGACCTGAACATGTTTGAAGACATTTCTGTTACTCACCCTCAGATCTTCCTTTGTGCTGAAGCTGTCAAGAAGCTGTTGGTAATGTCTATCCGTCATTTGCCGTAACAGTGACAGCAAACAGGAGACAAACTCCCCCTGGGTCACACAGGCCAAGAACACAAGTCTTACTCACTACACTCAGATGCATAAGACAAATTCATAAGCATTTAAAAATAATCAGCAAATGCAAAGGAAATTAATGCTACAATTATGAAACACTATTTGTTAGACTCTATATGCAGTGACAATAAATTAACTTAGGTCTGAGTTTCTCATGTAAAGAAACACTTTTCCTCAAACTCAGTTTTTTTCACTCAGCAAAATTTTGTTGAAGTAGCTCCAGAAGAGCTAAAACACCCCAAAACTGGCTTTTCCCTTATATTTGTATTTAAACTGGCTAGTTAATGGACCGCAAAAATTACCATATCTTAGTCAATCCAGTTTTGAAAAATATATATATAAAAAAAATATATTCTGCAACAGCTCTCGGAAGAATACTATTGTTTCTCCAATAGGGAAGAAATTACTGCAGTGAGCTGGGAATTTTTCAAAGCATTTTTTCACCTAACAGAAAAACGATACCTGTCAAAAAAGCAAATTCATATACAGGACCAACTTGACCAACTTTGAAAAAGTTTTGATTAAAACAGTTTTCTTGGGTCCACAGTGGAATTTCTCATTAAAATGTACATAGAGAAAATGAAGCTGAACTTAGCTATAGAGACACTGCGCTTCCCACTGCACTGACTCCTGGATGTGCACTCCACCATGTCCCTAACTCCAGGGCTGAGGCACTGCAGGGTCCTGCCTGCTTTTCCTGAGGGATTTACTCTAGGAACTGTTACAAGGATCTCTCCCTGCCCACACAGATGCCGTTTCTGTCCAGGCTGTCCTTCAAACAGCATGGGATTCAGAAACAAACAAAAAATGAGCAGGGTACTACACTAGGTATAGTAGAAGAGTAAAAATATATGTATTATATAAAAAAAGCTTTTCTATTATTGTTGACAGGTCAGCTTTCAAATGGTACAAACTTCAGGTGAATTGTTAACTGACTACCAAATCCAGGTTTTGAACTCCAAATCAGGTAACTATATGGGCAGCTGATTTTAAAAGTAATAATGCATGTCCAGGTGCATTTATTGAACTCTGCATGAAAATGTGTTTTCTAAGACTTCTACCAGTGCCAGCCGGGGGATATATGAATAATGCATGAAAGCAAACTCCACAAACATCACCACCTTGAGAAAATCAGTGAGGATCAGATTCCAGTGCTGTAAGTGGAACAAGGAGTACAGACAGTTCACTCAGGCAGACTTCTGAAGTAATTTTGTGTGCCTCATTTAAGGATCATGATAATCATTAAAACACAAGGAGATGGCAACTTCATTGAAATTCAGGGAACTTCTGAGGGATCAAACTTCCAAGATTGAAAAATCAACAAAGTTTTGCTCTAACTATCTTACTTCTTGGTAACATCCTATATACAAATGCATTTTCCTAAGTAAAATCTAAGGCCTAAATCACTGATATCCTAGAAGAATTAAAATAGAACTCTCCTTCTATTTTATCTTCCTTCTATTGCATCCAGTCTCTCTGGACTTCTATTAGAAGTCCAATTTTTGCTAGTGCAAGCACTGTGGCACTGACCCCTTGAAGATCCACTCTGTTGTTGGGCACTCACTTTCAAGTCTCACACTCATCTTTATGAAGAATCTTCAGGGCAAGCAGCAAGGGTGCTGAGACACCCAAACTACCTGATATGAGAGACCAGCACCCTCATGGACAGCCTGAGGCTGAGTGATTATCCTACTGCTTTATAAATTCTGTGGGGAAAAACATGACATATTCACCTAGAAGATCACACTGAGATGAGCTGGGTACTACTTACAGGAGTAAACTGAGATCTGATGAAAGCAAGTATGACAATGGCAAGTATGAACTGCCATGAGCACATCTACATCTCTCAGAGAATATTTTATGGTACATGGAGCTTGAATTAATGGTACCGTACTGGAGCAGAACTGCTGTACTCACATTGGGGACTTTATTATACTTTATTATACTTGCTCTACAAAGAGTTGCAAGACTCGGGCTCAGTGTGTTGCCATAAGCCCATCCTGCATGATGTTTCCACATAAATGTATATAATTGCCTTATGCTGTGCTGTGAGTCACTTCCACATTAAGCATTCTGTGAGAAGCCTGTGGTGATGATGACATGGCTTTTCTGATGCATAAAAAGCAAGTTTGCAACTTGAAATTTCAGAATCTACCTTTTTGACAGGGTGAGAGAATTAGACTATCACGGTGTTTTATGAAATCTTAATCTGCAAGCAAGTGGATATCTCAAAAGATACCAATAAGCTCAGAGGTTTGCTACAATAACAGATTTTTTTTGCCTTGTATACAGAGTACACTTCTAATTTTGCAATTTCAAAAAAGAAGAAAAATTCAAACTCTCGGATGCACAGTTTTAATGAGTTACAGTGACTAAAGCCTGGTGTTAGCCTATTACAAAGCATGGTTAGATGGGTAAACACTCCAAAAATGTTTGCTTTCTGTGGGATAAAGCAAAATAAAATCCACAGGCATTAAATATTTTTTGAAATGTCTGATCTCAGAGGAAACTCTGCTTTGAAAAGTTACCATCCATTCATTAGCAAAAAAGGGTACAGTGTAAAATCAGGTGATTAATCAAAAAGCATATAATGAGAGGGCAAATGAAAAGGCATAGTGCTTTCTCTTCACAAAATGTTACTCCCTCACCTCAAATTTGAATCACATCTTGTTATTTGCCTCTAGAAGGCAAACTGGGAACTTTGCTGCAATAAAGTACCACTTTCTCCACTTGTTTCAATGTTGATCATGGATTTTCCTACTGACTGCATTTCAACTTCCTAATTTGCAAGAGATGTTTTATTGTGCTGAGCAAAAGATCTTTTATTAATCTGGTAAATCTGGCCTCTACGCTTCAGTTCATGCCACAGAAATTAAGCTCAAATGGTCAGCCCAAATACAGAAATGTCATTCTAGCAATAAATTTGGATTTGGATAGGTTAGCAGCCTTTATTCTGCAGGAAGTTGTTTTATTGGGTAAAAATGTGAGGATATGAGGATGTAAAATGTTACTGGTAGATATTCTCCCATTTTCAATTCAAATTCAAATTTAAAAAGAGTTTCAGAAAGTTACTAAATTGTTAACAAAGGAGACTTAATGAAATTGTTACTAATCTGAAAGTGTTAAAAGGAATTTTACCTCTTTTTTATCACAATAAATTTATATCACAATTTAAAAATAAATGTAATGAAAAATATTATTATTTTCATGGAAAATTAAAATGCAAGTTGTTCTTTATTCTCCTCAATTCTCTGCTTTAGAAGAAACCTAACATTGTGAATTACAGTACAGAGGCAATACCTTTTTTCCCCCCTGCCACTACTGCTGAGTTATTATAAGGAACTCACAGTCACATCTTGAAACTGGAGGCGCAGAGCAGAACCTGATGGTTGAGGTCGGCTGGTGATCTCGAGTATGGTCCTCAGCAAAATATCCAGCAGGCTGTTTACAATCACATCTATTTCTTCCAGGACAGATTTTTCCTGAAATAATAAATGAAATCTTTCAGATTTTGAAATAACAAGATGACCACAAGCAGAATTTCCTTTGATATGGTTTTAGAAACAAATAATTACTATTTTTATTATTAATGTTTCAGTTGAGAAACAAAGGCCATTCTCGAATTAAGATATACTTTTAATTTTATTGAATTTATGTAACAGTTTTTGATTAATTACACGATATTGAAATATGGAAGACAACTATGAGGACGAATTTGAATATACAACCATTCCTCACATAACATAATTATATTTTCAAAAAAGGCAGTAAATAATATACAAGGGTTGTTCAGTGAAAATTTTTACAGGTAACGCCCTAGAGTTTTAGGGGGGGAAATTGCCAAGAGAGCTTTAAAGTCCAAAATGCTGAATTCTGTTTTCACACTTGGAAACATCACCAGAAACACGCCAATGGTGCTCAACCTCCAAGATCTCCTCCAGCTGTAAGCACCAGCTACCTCATCTGATTAGCACAGACTAGTAACCTAGGCCGGGCTACGACTGCTTGCACACAATATTAATACAAAGGAACCAAAATGTCCATCAGCAAAAAACACAGTCCCTTAGTTACATGCAAGAAAACACTTGGTAAAGTCAAACTGTAAAATTACTTTTGCTTTTTAAATCAAACATGTTTCCTCGCTTCAGCACCGCATTCAGTTTCCATGACAGCAGACGGCACCATCTCAATCTGAGCAGTTTTATCCATTAACTTAAGATGAGATTTTTTTACAGAAAGAAACACTTCCCCCTGTAATCAAACACACACTGCCAAGCTAACACTCAGCTGACAAACAGAATCACATGACTTTGCTGACATCCAGCTGTAGGAACGAGATTTCTTTCTGCTTCCTACATACCCAAAGCATATGATAAGTAACAAAATTCAGAATTCCTCTTTAGATTCAAAAGGAGTCTGGTATCAAGGCTGTGGTGCCTGTTACTTTTTCTACTATCAAACAACTGTAAAACATTGCTACTTAACGAAGTAGCATGGGTAGTGTTCAGTGTATTTGGGAAGAAGTCAGCGTGGATGGACTCTTGTACCAAATGATTGCGTTAATGGCCAACCAAAAAAAACACCTGTAATCTTCAAAGCTGTTTGTGAATTCATTTGTTTAGTCAAGCTATTTTGGTCATACAGGAAGACAAGAAGTTCTGAGCCGATCCACAAAATATCAGGCGTTATATATGCGAATGTCATCAGCTTGCTCATCCTGTCAGCTATTCTACTGAAGAGCAGTATCTGCATACCCTGCACACTAGAGAGAGTTTTACATAGGCACCAATCTGATTGATAGTGTGCACATCTCTGGCATTCATGTCCAGAACAACTCAGTCACCCCGAATGAAAGACCTCCTGAAACTGAGATCACACATACAAGTCTCCTCCAACCCCAAACCACACCTATGCTTTATCACTTGTCACTTTATCTCGTAATGAAGTAATATTAATCCAAGAGCAGCCAAAATACTAATGTCCCTCCTGTGGCAAGTTTGTGGGGCCTTATCTATATCATTGACTTTGCTGATTTGAATTGCTAAGAGCAGGATGAAATCAAGAAACAGAACAGTTCCTACCAATGCATTACCATGCAAAGTACACCGACCTTGATTTGCTAGTACTGCACCAATTACATGCAAAGTTATTTGGCTTCATTTCCTTTTGCCTGATCAAACTTTGTCATCTTCATATCTACGATACACCTACCTAGGCTAACCCTCATACGTAGCATCCATAGAAGAATTTACAAATACAAGCGCGGGAAGCAGGCCACAAGGATTATCAACACCCCAGTAGGACCCTTCCTTGCAGTGCTTGTATTAATCCACTCTTTGGTGTTTCTTTGGTGTACAAAACAATACAAAGCCTGACAGTCCAGTCCTTCTGAGATAATGCCCAAATAGCTTTGAACAAAACTGACAGGCAATAATTCAATATTATGCAGGACACAAACCCACCCCAGATGATCACTCTCTCTAAATCCCTCTGCAGATTCCTCTCTGTTGTGTCCCTCCACAACTACAGAACACCATGGCCTTCCAAAATCCCTTCGTTTTCCGAGTATTCAAGATAAGAACTACACTGTCTCCCACTCAGACAGCAAGTTTCTCCAACACCTCCTTCATTTGTGTGTATCCTCCAACTCAAGCCCTTCCTCTGTTACATATTCTAAATGTCACCAAGCAGCAATTCATGGAAGGCAGTAGCTAAACCAAGCTACTAAACTTGAAGGCCAAGAACTGAAGGGGTATCCTAGCTATTCAGTGGAAAAACACTGCTCACCAACAGCATCTTTGCAGTTCTCTACATTATAACACAGGGAATAGCCTCCTTCTGAGCTTTCACATCTCAAAAATTGAACGCCTGAAAAAGTCTTGTATATTACATTACAGTATTTCAGACCTATCAATTCCTCTAGCTTTCTCCCCAAGAAGAGAAACAAGGAACTTCCACGTAAGACTCAGAGAGAGTCAAGGCTTGGCAGAACACAACGTGCTACAATTAAAATATTCCTGCATAAAAAAAAAAAAATAAAGCTGATGAGAAATCGAATTGATGTGCTCATGGAGAATTGATGCATAGAAGACTCCTCAAAATGCTTTTCTTGGTTAAAGTCCAGTTTATGTCATTACTGGAAGCCATATAAAGTTCAACACCTTGGTGACAAGACATGGTGTTTACTTACCGAGCTGTTCTTCTTGATGAGGCAAAATATGTTGCTAAGGATACGTGCGCACATTATAAGGTCCTTCTGCTCTTGTAAATGCATGTGGAGATGATGTAAAACTACTGGAAGAAGGATATATCGAGAATCTGGAATAAACGAAAAAAATTCTGAGTAGGATCTTCTCACAGAATCATTTCATCTTAATGTAGACATACAAATGCGTCTTCTGTCCAAACCTGTATTTCTGACAAGCAAATGTTTCTACTTGCTTTAATGAGAAGCTTTTACTTCAAAATCATATTATTCTAAAAATAAAAAGAAATACTTGAAGAATGAGCAATATTCAGAAAAGCAGCATATCATACAGGCAAACACCACTGTATGGATTTTTTACATATGATTAAAATTATATATTTATTGAAGTACTAACACAATAATCCTTAAATTCAAAATAATGGGTAATTATTCTCTGGTGCTCCTTAATCCTTTGCAAGCCGAGGTCACAAAGGACATCACTATGATGTACCATTATTCTGCAAATGAGTTCCAATTTACAGGCCACAAGTACTCCAGATTTCTTCTGGGATTATTTTTTCCAAGATTTCCGTAGCCCATATGAGAAATTTAGACCTCTGCTGTCCACATGATTAATTTGCTTTTTCTTTAAAAAACATTTTTTATAAGCACAAATCTTTAAAACGTTACTTTCAGTTCTGTATTCTCTCAGAATCATATGATGAAAGAATTACACTAACAGGCTGTATTTTCTCACCTCTTTTTGTAATTAATGAAAATATTAAATAAGAAGAGTCCTTAAACTTGCAATGCCACATTAAACATCTATTTAAAATCTGATAAATTGAATGTGCTTTTTTTTCCATTTTATTGTTGCTTTTACAATTTTTCCGTAATTAAGAAATAATGTTCTCATTTAGATCTACTTGAATCTCTGTTATAACTTTAAAGATTATTACATGCTATATTATCTAGATATATCGCCTCTATTACAGTTCTTTTGTTCACTAATATCCTAATAGCCATCTAATTTTCCTAATTTTCTAAAAATTGAGTTCATCTAGCATAAAAACTACTCTTTTAAAATCATTTGGCCAACCATGCTTTGTTCTTGGCTTAGTCTTTGCATAAAAACTTTTATTTCCCTCTATTTTTCCTGGGGAAAAAAAAAATATATATATATATAATATATCGTGACATCTCATTTTTCGAACATTTCTTTTATTTGCTGAAATACAGCACCGGTCTTGTTCTTTTTAACTCTATTCCCTGTTGTCATAATCTAATCACTGAAGACCAACTGTAAAGAGAAGCTGGTCTATACACATGGTTGAAATATCTTATTTCCCTCCCAAAATCTTGTGGCTCTTTTTTCAATGATTGTTTCATGCTTATTATCTAGGTAGTAGTTTCCCTGCTGAAGAAAAATGTAAACAAAGGCTGTATGACAACAGTCAAATAAAACCCCTTCAGTGAATCTAAAACGAGCGGTATTTAAACCCCAAACTGGGAAGGAAATAACCTCTGTACAGTTGCTGCTTCCTTTTGCAAGTGCCTCTGCAAGTTTGCATCCAGTTGGGCCTCAGAGTCCCTGTGTGCCTGTAGCACTGCAGATGAAGAGCAGCAGTTTCTACCAAACTAGAAGGGAATTTTTATCTCCTCATAACGTAGAGACACAGGCAAGCGTAGCCCCAAGCAGTTTTGGTAAGTAGAGCACGCACAGGTGACACTGCCCATCCCTGCAAGACCTGCAGTCTCAGAAAGGAAGCGGCCAACACGACGGCTGAGGGGCAGATACATGTTTATGACAGTGCCCAGTTCTCACCCCAGTTGCCAAATCTGTTTATTGGTTACTGATAGATGAAAAAAAAAAAAAGTCTGCAGCTGAGGCCAAAAACACAGGAGTCCCCATTTCTATAAAAATAGAAGAGCTAACATCGAGGCTAGAGGCAGGCTGCTCCATCCCTGCTTTATTCACGCCTTAGGCGGATCGAATTCTTGTCTAACTAGTAACCCAGCTTCTGCAGAAGAGATGAAGGGCTCACTGTGGAAACCAGCCTGCAGGTTTCTAGTTTCAGCAGTCTTCTGGGAGGCAGGAGATATGAATCTGTATATATGCCCAGAGCACTGTTACTCAGTAAATGTTCGAATCATCCTGCTACACCTCAAATCCGCTACACCAGAACGTGAGGAAAACCCGTCGCAGCCCCGTGCTACGGTGTTTCTTCTTGGTTAACTTGGTTAGCCAAGGTTTCTTCCTGGTTAGCTCTGCTCAGCTCATCTGGAGGAGCACATGGGCTCAGAGGCCCATCTCCTGAGGTCCTCAGCACTCTTGAGGTACGGCATGAGGAACCCCATTTAGAAGAGCAGGGAAAGCACGGGGCTCGTCAATGACCAACTCCTTCACATGATCTGGCTTAACCTGTCCATGGTGTAACTGAGCATCCTCATTGAAATACTCCAAGTATCCAATTTTTTGCAAAAATGAGCTTGTTTATCCAAGACCAAGTGGATTAACAAAAACCATGTTACAGCAATTTGCAACTACACCTGGGAAAGAACAGGGTCATTCAATGAATTAGCCACCTTGCAAAGCACAGCACTGGATATACTCCTTATAAATCCTTAATCTAAATGCCTGTCTTGATCTGAAGAGGATAGTAGACATCACCACGGAGCCAAACACAGGACTACATGAAAAAATTCAGAGAAAACAGTGTTCAACGCTTGCCTCAAGTTTCTCTTTTTGGAATGGTGCAATAATTATAAGTCTAGCCATCAGTCACTGTCCTAATTTTTCTTCTGTGCAAGAAGCCAAATTAGCTGACTGTTTAAAATGCTAATGCTTGCCTTTACAAATATTATACAGGAATAGAAAAAAAAAATCATGACATTGAGTTTTCAAGCACATGTCTGGCATAATTAAAAAGAAAGACTAGTCTGGCCAATCCTCATAATTTCCCTATGCAAGCTACATTAACATTAAACATTTAACCAACAGCACAAATTCCCATCTTGCTTTCTAGTCAGCAAAGAAATAAGTGCACACATAAAATTGGTCAAAATGGCCATGGAAAAGGAATTCTGTTATTTGGACATCGTAAGTGAAGTGACTCCTTGGACAGTAAGAAACAAGAAAGTTGCTTTTATTTCTGATAGCCTTACTTGGACAGTTTATGTTTGCTTGTGTGGAAGAACGACCTGATTCCAGGGAGGTAGAAGGAGAACACAATGGAGCCAACTGGGTGAAGACAAGTGACCAGTTGTCACGGCAATTTCAAAATCAAATGTGCTTGTTCTATGACGTGCATGAACGTTTTCAGAGAAGTCATTTTCTCATCTTAATGAAGATTCTCATTTTAATGAATTTTCACTTTTAAAAAAAAGGAGTTGTCCATAGTGATAAAGAAAAAAAGATATGGTTGAGAAATTTGTCTCCACCATCCAAAATAAGAGACACAGAGGTTAAGCAATATTTCCAAAGCTTTTGCAAAATATTTTCTGTTCTCCATTTTTTGAAAATTTACTTATTTTATATATACAAATTTACATATCAGAGGTGTTGAAATAAGCACACAAATCTCTCTGAGGAGCAATGTACCTGATTCGGGGTGAGAAACGAAGAAATTAAGAATTAATCTGGAAAAATGACCAGAGTACTACTTCAGAAATAAATCAATATATAAAATCCATATGCCTCGAAATGTTTTGCTTTTTTTTTTTTGAAATCTGTGTTAATATATGAGGTTTAAATTAGTACTTGAATGTATTTTAACTAAATTTAGTTCAGGATTTGTATCAACTTCTTTCAATAATGATTGCCCAACATGTAACAACATTCATTCTGTGAGGTACAAGACATCAAATTATTCTTATTTCAGTTCTATATTCAGTTCTAAATGACTACAGAAACATAGTTTCTTATCATTATAGGAGACAGGTAGCTAGTGGCTGCTTGCATCTTTTAACATGTCTGTAGTTCTGACCCATAGCAAAAGCTTTAGTAAAATTGCAGAAATACAAACAGATTCAAGGTGAAATCCTATCCACTTAGGCCTCCAAATACCATATATTGCTGAGTGGAGATTCTCTACAGAGAGGCACACAGAGACCAGGAAAGGCATCCTAATGCATCTAAAATTGAACTAAAACATCTGTGCTTGGGCTCCTTAATCATCCCCTCATCTGATATTTCTGTTTTTTAACAAATACCAAATATATCTCCTGATTTCAGCAACACACAGTTCGTGTCAGCTGATTTCTACAGCAGTAGGAGCTGCAGCAGTAGGAGCAGTAGGAGTTGTTTCAAGAACTGCATTAGTTTTTAAGCCTGGGCATCATAAAATGTCTACAACTCCGATGTTACAATAATATCACTTTCTTCAAAGCTCCAGAAAGCAGAAAAGGTTGTCTAAGTGCCCCCCAATTTTTAATTTTTAGAAGTTTGAATAGTGGTTCACTGCCTTCCACCTAGCCTGCAGAGGTTAGCTGGAATTGCAGCTCGAAGTGTCCCCCATCTTCATCTGTAAGGCAGAATGTGATTATTTTCAGAGCAGCAAGTCTCAGTTTTATGTTAGGATGTATGTTAACACTGAGCATGAGCATGGCTTAGTGCAGTATGTGTTTTCCCGAGAGGTTTTTAAAAGGTCTTCCTTCCCTCTAGGAACAGACTGAGGCAAAGTCTGTTATTATTATCGCTATTTATTTTAAAACACTAGGGGCAAAGAAAGCAAGAAACTGAGCTCCCCACGACCTCTGAGCTTAATGGTAACTGAAATTACACTGTACGAGATGTTTGCAAGCATTTGTCCTAAGCTTCATATCACGGACAACCTACGTTATTGCCTGATACCTTCCACATGAATTACCCTGTGGAGTGAGAAATTTTATATTCCATTTGTGTACAACCACCTCCATGTGAAACTTACCACCAAACCGTCGTTGCTTTTGGAGTTGAAACCAACTCCCAGGGCTTCTTAATAATAAAGCTGGATTTAAAAAACAAGCTAACACTTTTACAAAAGAAAGCAAAATTTATCATACAGCTGAGCAGCAGATTTACAGTTCCAAGAAACCCCCAACACTTTTTTTTTAAATGTCCATTTACATGGCATTCTGTTATGCAATTATTTTCAGTCATTTGGATCCTCCAGTTAGGATGACTGAACCAGGAGAAGAGGAGGAAAATAGAGATGCACCTAAACCCATCTTCATGTTATCTGATCCTGAAGTAGCTTGGAAAATGGAAAACATGAGTCAGAGCATCCTTAGGATTGCTCCATTAATATCTTATTACCCATGCAGAGCATCAAAGGTTCGATCCATCTGCTGTGGGCAGAGCTGGTTCTGGAAGGGCAGTGTGGAAGCTTAGGAGGAAAAGAGGAAGCTGCTTTCACAACCACATCAGAGCAAAGCAGCCAAATTACCACAAGCATTTAGATATTTCTTGACCATTTTCTTGAGCTCATGCTTTTACTGTAAGCATTATGCATTTAAAAAGTAATATCTTAAGATCTCCTCGTTTCTGCTAAAGCATGTTAAAATACCCGATGACTTTGTTGGCCTTCATCAGTGTAATGGGCTTATCATGACTGTCTGTCATTTCTCTCCCTTAAAATTGAAACAGGAGTGTCAGGGCCACCACCACACAGCCATTTCTTCTGTTTCACATAGCAGACAACGATACTGCTATATACTGCACACACCAAGTATCACCCGCATCTCTCCCCAGGGAATCTTTCCATTCTCTCCAGTATACGATTATCTTTTAGCCTTTATGTAGTTTTTTTTTATGTGATGGTGAGAAAATAGAGGATCAAGAGTGTTGAGCTGCCAACAGTTACACAGATAAAACTTTCTTCTCAGAGAAAAAAAAAAATGTTCTGAATTAGTAAAGTTTTGTCCTTTATAATTACATTCACAGGCATATTGCCACAGGCATATTGCCAGCAGTGGATCAAAACTACAGTTTTACAAAAATTAACCTTAAAAATAATAAAATCACAAAATTAATTAACTATTCCCATAAAATATGATAAACTGCCCACACAGAAATATGCTTCAAGGCTGTTACTTAGGAAGCACTAGAATGCTAGGCATTATTGCCTTTAGTATCTGATGACTTGCTTCTCAAGCATACAATTAAAGCTCCCCAAGTGCAGGCAGTCCCAAGTGATCTACCTGGGTTAGTGTATAAGTGGCTCTCCACTGTTTTCCCAATGCTCTGAAGCTTCACAGCCTGAAGAG